TCTTCTGTTGTTCGTTAGGTAGGACTCAATGTTCAGTGCAATTTTTTTTAGGGACTCCACTTAAGGATGAAGCTGGGACTGTCTGGGACATGCTTTTGCACTGGTATTCTAATTTGTATTGATTTACTTAATGCTATCATTCAAATAGATCTTTAGCATTCTGCTTCTTTCACTTCAATAATCTGTACTGAGGAAAGAAAGGTTTCTCTTTAAATGAAGGACCCCTTCCTATTACATTTATATATATATAAAAAAAGTATTTGTATTCAACAGCAAAAGGTAAAAAATGTTTTATTTCTTTAAACTAACTGCAGTGGTTTCCTGGCATTTAAAAAAATGTTTGTCTTAAATGACTGCACTTACCTTGCATGACACAATATTACTGCAGAGTTCAGGAGTGAAAATTGCCCTTAGCTTACTCTGTTGACTTCCATGAAGTTAATACCCCATTATAACATGGCTGAATTGGACCCAAGAGATTCAATTCTGATCCTGCCTACACTGGTCCCCTGGTATATCTCCTCTGTCATCTTTGGTGTTTACTTTTAATTTACAGTGTTTTAAATTGTATCAGGATTAGGTTTGGGATTGATTTCTTTTCTAGTTTGCATCAGTCTGAAACCTTTGAGTGCATCCAGATGAGACCGCATGTGTCTTTTGCTGCATCTCAAAGCAGTTTGAGATGCAGCAAGAGGCACACTGGGAACAAAAAACATTCCTATTAGCAGTATGGGCTCAAAATTCAATACTTGGATATCCAGGTATCAACTCCCCCTGCCCCCCCCCCATGAAAAAAAAGCAGGGCAGGTCATGGTCCAGGACCAGGTCCTGAGGCAACCAGAGGCTTGGGTCCTCCAAAGAGATGCTCTGGTAGTCAGCCAGAGCATCTCTATGCCTGTCCCTTGCCCTGATGCTGCAGCATGCTACCTGCCCATGCAGGGTAAACAGTAATACAGGCTGCAGTGACCTGGACCCAGGCTCCATTCCTGGTAAGTGGGGTGGTGGCTTTGAGGGTGCAGGAGACCATGGGGGGGGGGGCAGCTCAGGAGGGGTGGGTCCCCTGCCTGCTGCCCACAGGGCTCATATGCCCCCTCACACGGCATCAGCCCCTCTGCATGGCCCACAGCTCACCCACAGCAGTAGCAACCATCAGGGAGCTCCAGGCCTCCTAGCACAGCCTCCCCATGTGGCGTGGGGCAGTGCAGCTCAGCCTTGGCCACCTGGCACCCAGCTCCTGAACCGCCCTCCCCCCACAGTCCCCTCACACCCACAGTTCCCCCATGATCCTCCAACACCTACCCACACACCCCATGCCCCTGCTTCCCTCCACACCTCCCTCCTGCAAACCCCCCCCATCCCCTCCATCACACACCTATTGTGCCCAGCTGCCAGGCAGGATGAGGCCTGCTGGCAGGAGTTGTGGCTGCAGGGGCAGCTGTCCCCACATCCTAGTTAGTGAAGGGATCAGGGGAAGCTCTAACTATTCTATGATAAGAAAACCAAAAGCAAACATCAAAATATATAAATATTTAGAATTTATTTTATTATGATGATAGAGACACTCCAAGCATTCTAAAATGCTTTAACATTGTAAATATATCAATAAAACATTGCCCAACTGATTTCTCTCTCTCTCTCTCTCTATATATATATACATATATATATAATGGTGTTTTGTTTTAATTGTGGAAGAACATGGATTTTGGGGTATTTTAAAGAGTGAATTTGGGATCTTTTTTATCAGAGATTTTGCAGTTTTTAAATAGGGAACACCAGGATTCCTGCTAGTGAGACAAGTGGCAGGACCCAGGCAGAGGAGCCTGCTAGGGCTGGCACCTGGGACCCAGCTGGAGGTGGCTGACCTCTTGGCCAGTTAGGGCCAGGAGGACATTCTTTGACAGTTCAAAGAAGGCCACCACACCTGAGAACATCTTCTGAGCAATCGCTGCCCAGATGGCAGTAGTGCACGCAAAGGCCAACTGGCAAGCCACAGCCTGCTGGCAGCTGGCTCAGAGATGCAGCCAGGCAGTCCCCATCTGGGTCTGGCAGGTGTGCAGCCTTGTGGCCACATGCTGTCGCAGGTGGCAGCAGGTCATTGCCAGGCAGCAGCCCCCACTGCCAGACTGTTGCAGTGGGTAGAGGGTACAGGGAACTCTAGGTTAGGGCTGCTTCTGCAGTCCAGCTGGCACAAGGGGTAGCGTCCCCAGATACCAATTGCCCAGGCTCCAGTAGTTCCTGAGAGCAAGCAGCCCTGAGCTACTTGCCAGGGTAGGTTTTTATACTGCTGGGACCAGGACAGGTGCTGGCCCCAGCCTCTAGCTCCCCCTGACTGCAGATTTGGGAGGAGCTTGGCAAGGTTATTTTGCCCTTAGAGGGAGGGGCGGAGTTTAATCTGCAGCTATTTTTAATCTTTTCACAATTGAAGTGGATCATGGACAATAGAGCCTAATCTTCAGATCACTCTCCTTCCCTTTCCTGCTCAGGCAAAAACAGCCAACTCAGCTGTAGCTTTTACCTGAGCAGGAAAGGGATTGTGAATGAGTAGAAGAGTAGGAAGATGGATAGAACCATGTGACCGTAACTCTGGAAAGATACTTTTTTATTTCATTTTGCCTTCCCAAAAAACAAGGCATGTGTGTTATTTGGGAGCCTGTGATAAGTGAGAAAATAAGGGATTATCTATCTATCTATCTATCTAGGCACCCAGCTCCTGAACAGCCCTTCCCCCCACAGTCCCCTCACACCCACAGTACCCCCATGTAGATAGATAGATAGATAATCCCTTATTTTCTCACTTATCACAGGCTCCCTGTGGCATTGATGCCTACACGGTCATAACAGAAAAGATGTTGAATGACTGAGTTTCAGCTTGTGGCCAGACTTTCTCAATATATTGCAAATCATATAATATTTTGCAGATGTAAAGACTAAATTACATCTTTATTTCTGTATATACATAGCATAGAGTCTCAGGAATGTTTTTCTGTGATACTGAAGGTCGAGTTTTCATGTTTTATCCCTAAATAAGAATAGTATAGTGGCTGAATTGTGTCTTGATTTGTTCCATGGATTCCCAGTGATGCTAATATATGCTAGTACGTCTGCAGCAGTCACATGCTTGTCCTGATCAGCCTGTCCGTCCTGTCACAACCTATTAGTCATAAAATGGGATTACACAGTCAAGCAGGCTCACACGCCATAATGTCTACCTTTTTAAGGTTCAGCGACAGCCAGGACCGTATCATTGTAGATACAGGGGAAGCTAGGGAGAGGAGAGAAGAGGTCAGCTGACTCAACCTCTTTGAAAATTCCTGTAATACACAGAGACCCATTCGCCACCCAAAACAAAATCTCTGAGCCTGCCTCTGCCCTCAAAAAACTTATGAGAGATTTGAACAAAATATTAAATATATAGCTAAATACTAACTAGATATTTGTTAAAGGGAACATTTACATTAGGTAGAATTGTACAGGTCCTATTATCAACAAGAGATTGACTTGATTTCTGTTAATAAACAATTAAAATACAACATAATTTTTATCTTTTAAATTATTTCAATTACTAGCCAAAGGTGATTTAGAGATCAAAAATACTAATATATGGGTTTTTATTTCTATTAATTTGTTCTTAATGGTGAATCGTTAAAACAAGTTAGTTTCTGTTGTATTGCCAAAGCTAACAATGAAAATCATTTAATGCACATAATACCCACAACTCCTACCCTAAGGAGGACAAATGTAGGATTAATTCCATGGACTTTAGTGAATTATTAAATACTTGACACAGGTATGAGGTCAGAATCATAGTCCATAGAAGATAGAAAATTGAAACAGCCTAGAGTCAGACTGGTTTCAGTGATGGTTGTATTAATGATATTGGGCTCACATTCTTTGTAATTTCATCTGTCCTCTACCAGACTCAGTAAAATAGAAGTCTTTGGTTGCCATGCTCTAACTGCGAAAAGCCTGAGTTCCATAGCTGAAGAGTGTCCAAATCTGCAGACACTGAACATTGGCAGAGTCCCAGAGGTTACTCATGTCTGTCTCTCAAACATAGTGAAGCACCTGAAAAAGTTATCTGCACTCAACGTAACTGGGCTCAGTGTGGTAAGACCGTTTTGACTTATCATCGTTCTCTTATTTATTGTAAAACTACTAGAAGCAGATTGATTTGTGTCTGGTATATTCATTAATAATTATATGCCAAAATGAGCAATGTTATCTGTTCTTTTCTAAAAAAAGTAAAATTATTAAAGCATGGTGACATTGATATAAAATTGATATAGTTAGCTGCAAGATACACAAGTAACTAATTTTCTTTATTAAATATAATACAAAACTAATTGCACTTGATAAGAGTAATATAGAATAGTGTCAAATACCAGTCTGAATATCTAGCTGAAATATAGAATGGACAGATCTTTGTTTTTGTAGCGTCTCAAAAGCCTCCCTAATTCTGGTCCACAGTAAATAGTCCCAGCAGGGGATTGTTGACAACACTGCACCCATAAAACTGAAGTCTGTTTGCTAAGACCTACATTAGCTAATACAGTAGTGTCTGCAAATGCTGTTTCCCCACACTAATTTAGGATGTATACAGCCATTTGCCGCACCATATCTACATTCATTTGGCTTATTTTAAGTCATAACATAGATCAGGAGAGGTGTGTACAACTTTTCACCAGTGCTGTGATAATTGAACATACATATAGGCCAGTTGGGGGAGAGAGGCAAGGGGGAGGAGTGGGGCAGGGAAGGAAGGAAGAGCACAGCCCAGGGGCTAGGCCGAGTGGCCTGGGCTTTATCAGCCCCAGGGCTGCACTCTGAATGTGTACATTTGATAGCTCAGGTTAACCTGTTTTTGATCTAAGTTAGTTCTTCTCCTCAGGTGAACTAACTTAGATAGAGCCTGCCATTTAATAGATAGATAGTTAGATAGAGCCTAACCCCTTTAAATGCCTGAACTGATGGACATTTAGATCAACCTAACCTTGGTTAGGTCAGTCTAAATGTAATAGCTATACATAACCGTAGGAATGACGACAAGTAGATCTCTGGATCTATGGATTATATAGATAACAATCTGCTGTTCCAAGCTCCCTTCTTTCCTTGTTCTATGGCAGACAGTGGATACTTCCTTAAAGTTTGGCATGATTCAACCCTATCAAAAAAGAAATAATTTTCAGTGCTAGGTTATATGAAAGATGATGGAGACTTTCCTAGTAGATTATTGAAGTATTTCATAATAGTTGAACATAGGCATAAGAAGAACAAAAACGGTATATTCTGCAAGGGACTAACCTAAAAAACATTGTCCAACCTCTCTTACATTCATATGCTGAGAACCACAACACTTCCATTGTCAGCACACCTTCTTTCATAAAATAACAGGCCCTAAAATGGCAGGTCTTCTTGAGAGTTCACAGAATCATTACATGTCACTGCACATGGATATATTTAAATAGTGACCAGCATAGAGCAGAAGGTCGAGGAAGGGCAAAGTTTGATTAGCAGGTGTTAATGTTAGTTGTCATAAATGGCCAAATATAAGAATTAAGCAAATAAAGCAGATTAAAACATGAGTTGGAAGAACTTACATTAAAAAAAAATCTTTCACCACAGGGAAGAAGCTATCAGTCTCCACAGACAAGATTGGCTTCTGGCGCATGCATGCTAAGGAGCTTTTCTTCCCCGCTGAATACTTAAATGATAACAAACGTTTTATGGTTTACTGTTTTTTATTTGTTTCTCTACTCATATATCTTTGTTGGGGAATAGATATGGTGGAAGGACAGCAGTTAAGAGTTTTTACCAGGAGAAGTAGGGAGTTCAGTTTGGAAGGACTGAGAAAAAGAGGGAAGATGAAGGTGATTATATCATTATGTGTAACCACCAGATAGGTGGGATACAATGCATAAGCACTGTGCATGTACTAATAGAACTAGAAGGAAGTGTGCTTTGTGTCAGTTTCAAACACTGTACTTTTACACTGCATCTCCTTTTCATGTCCTTGGTCTAGTTAGACTATAAGGGCATCTATACACTTGCAATGAGGCTGCTCTGAAGCACTGTAATTACAGTGCATTGAAGCAGACTCAATAATTGAGTCTGCTGGAGTATGGTAGTTACCATTCTCCACTAGACTCCAGCATCACGTGTATCAGCATCCCCATGATAAAAAATGTCAGTGGGGGCACTTTAACTAAAGCTTTAATGACCTTTAGTTAAAGCACCCCCGCTGCCATTTTTCAGCATGGGGACGCCGTTCTAATTAAAGCGCCCCCCTCCTCCCCATTCTTGGAGCACATGTATAAACATCCTAAGGTCTTCAAGAAGTAGGGACACTGTCTTCCTAGATGGCTGCAGCATGTAACATATTTTGGAAAATAATGTAATTTGAATTACTAATAAATAAATAAATCTGTTGTCTTATAGATAATTTTTATTAGCACTGTATTCTGTATTTTGGTGATCATCAGATATTTCTGGCAAGTCTTTCGGCTGATAACTGCCCACATGTGAAGTAAGACTTTGGTGGTTTTTTTTCTCCTCTGTGTGATGCATTCTAGGTGAGAGATCACGTTGTCCACTTTATTGTGACACAGTGTCCTAAATTGGAGTCTCTGATTCTCAGCTCCTGCTCACAAGTGACAGATCTAAGCCTAGTGGAAATTAGCACCTACCTGCAAACAATCAGGTACAAATCTGAACATTGTAAGGAAGCTTTGTAAATATATCTGAACTGCAAGGTTAAAGGTTTCCATCAGTAAAAATTAAATCATGACTCATTGGTATCACAGCTTTGTTTGGTTAGTTCACAGAAAATTTAGCAATGGTGCTGTATGGGCACATACTGTTATTGCCCTAAATCAGTGTCGTACACATGAGTCCTGCAAGTGGTTAAATTGGGCCCAGGAGGCTTTTTGGCATGGCATCAGAACCCAGGGGATGAATTCTGCCACTACTCCCTTCCTCTCTCTCCCACCGTGCCCACTGCTGAATTTGAGGTCTTTGATTCCATGGGTGAATAAAATCAGCAGCATGAGGGAAATGGGGGCGGGTAGAAACTATATTTATCACCTGGGTTTTGGAGCTATCCTAACATAGTGGCTTCAGCAGCTGTGCTGACCTGCTTCCACTCTACTGCTGCAGGTGGGTTATTTCTACATACACATACAATGAATGATTCTGGTGTATAGAAAACCATGGGCACCTCCATTCCCATTCTGTAAGACTTTTGAGTCACAGGAGGAGTAACCTCTTATAATGAAAGGTAAAAAAAAAAAAAAAATATCACAACTGTGCAAGCAAAGTATTGTATTGATCACTATGCAAGATACTCAACTTTTGATGCAATGCTACAAAGTGATTTGCTCTCAGAGTTGATAACATTTCTGAATGCTTGAATTGGTAGACAGTTATGATATTCACCCAAATCCAAGAAGACTTCAAATTTAAGATGATCCACCCAATAATTAGACTCTATACATGGGAAGTGTATAAATTTATGATTTTCCATGTATAGAATCAAATTATTGGAGGATCATCTTAAATTGGTCACCCTCACTCAGTGCAGTGGGGCAAGCAGGAACAGAGGGGAAGATAGTGGGGGGTTGGGTGGCAGCTAATGGGGCAGTAAAGTGGCCAGACCCTTTCCCCTTGTCCCCCCTGCTGCCTTTCCCATTTCCCCCACCATCTCCTGGCCTCCCTGGTACCTTCCTCCCAAGTTCCTGCCCCCCCTGGTACCTATACCTCCCTTGTGGTGCCTGCACCCCTTGGCATCTGTTCCCCCTGAAGTGTCTATAATCCTTGGCACCTTCCCCCACTGCCACATGCCCTCCATGTAACCACCTGTACCTCCCCATGGTGCACTGGATTCAGCATGCAGGGGGTGGGGGTTGTCCATGGGCCAAAAGCGGCCTATGGGCTGGCCCCATGCCACTGATCCAGCCTATGGGGCCAGATAGGTTTGACAACCCTGCATTAGGAGAATAGTATTTTCCAGGCTGCTACAGACCAATTAAAAATTTAGGACACATAGATACTGTATATATCTATTAGTCTACAAAAATGCTTAATGACAATGGGGTTGAAGTACAAGAATATATTCCTATAGTCACTTAAAAATAAAAAAGGTTTCATGGCACTATTTTGATATGGCAAATTGGCATAAAATGATTTCTAATATAGTACATATATTCTGATGCAAAGCATGCCTTGGTAATTATTCCATATGGTTAGCTCCTAATTGGTCAGTTGGTACCCATTAAGCCAAAACATGGTTGAAAGTTTTATTATGCTTCCTTGGTGAAATATTTCTCAAATGAATGCTATCAGGGTTTTACCTTATAGCACAAGAATGATATTCATGAGCTGTTGAGGCATGAAAAATCACAAGAAAAGCTGGGTAACTCTTGCAATTAGAATGCAAATGAGGTAGCAAACTTTTACTGTAGTTAAAGTATGACTAGTGTTGCCAACTCAAGAATTTTTTTTACTGATAATCTGAAAGCTTTTAACTGATCACCAAACTTGTTTTATTAACATATGTTTATATTGACATATGTTTTACATAATATAAATATAACCTTGCTGCCAGGCCCTGGACAGCAGGAACAAAAGCGAGATTCAAATTTAGGGGTTTAACACCAACCATAGTTAAAAAGTTTGATTGTCAGTAAAATAGTTACAGATGGTCAGTGAAAAAAAAAAAGTCTTGGTTTGGCAACCCCGCTTGACAGTAATAATGGTTTTGCACACTTCTACCCCCACCCTAGGGGTTTCAGAATATGAAATGAATCACATACCCCTTTGTCACGGCAGGGTCCTTCAGGAGGGCCGTGATCTCCTTATGGCCCCCTCACCGAGCCAAGTCGGCCCAAGGGCACCCTCAAATTCTCACCCGCCACGTCTTTGATGGTTAGATAAAGTTGGGAGGCTGCCTTACGACTCCCTGGGCACGGTTAGCTGGGACCTCTGTCCCCGTGTGTTCCCGGACCCCCTGGGGGTCTCCCGGTATGATGGGTGCTCCCCAGGCACCCTAGCCTTATGGGCTACACGTGGCTCCTACCAACCCCTAATACCACACCCCAAGCCTTGCTGATGGGATAGACGCTGGTATGTTTCTCTATATATATACTGCCCATCTCTCGGGCCTCCTCTACGTACTCTCGCCCACTCTCTGGGGCCTCCTCTGCTGTACTGCCCTCTCTTGGGCTCTCCGAGCCCACTTGGGGCCTCCCTGTAATGGTGCCCCTTTCTGGGGCCTTCTCTATAGTGTCGCCCCCTGTCTGGGGCCTTTACAATAGTGCCCCCTCCTGGGGCTTTTCCTACAATGTCACCCAAACTCGGGCTTCTAAAGTACAGCCCCCCCGTCTGGGGCTCTCTGCGCCCACTCTGGGGACTTTTCGGCAACGCCGCCTGATTCTCGGGCCCACCACGTTGCTACCCCCTTCTCCCAGGGCCACCGCGCCACTACCCCCTCTCACCGGGGCAACTGCAGCACTCTACCCTGCTCCGGGGTTTGCCGCAGCACTAGCCCTTCTTCAGAGGCTCACCGCGCCCACACTGGGCTTCCTAATAATATTGCCCCCTCTCTAGGGCTTGCTGTGCCCCTACTGGGCTTCCTCATAACACTGCCCCCTCTCTGGGGCTTGCTGTGCCTGTCCTGGGCTTCCTAATAACACTGCCCCCTTCTGGGGCTCGTCGTGCCCACACTGGGGCTTCTCAAAGCTGCCCCTCTCTGGGGCTGGGGTCTATGCCCTGCAAGCTGTGCCTTCACTGGCACTGCGCCTTCACTGATGCCGGGGCTGGGGGTCCCTATGAGGCCTCCTCCAACCCCTATAGCCTCACCCAAACCACCGGTGTAATACCAAAGCCAAACAAACTCGAGCCTCCTGGCTATGACTCGAACATAAAGCCTCCTGGCAGAACCATGGTGCTCAAACCTCTCCAAGCTGCCATCCTTCACTCAGCTAGAGTGGTTCCTATGATTCTCGCCTCCTAGCTCCAGGAGCTCAAGCTCCTGCCCCTCCAGCTGCTGGCAGGGAACTGCCAGTCTGGCCTCAGCCATGGGCTTTATAAGGGCCAGGCCCTGCCTCCTACAGGCAGCTGGCTCTCCTTAGTTGCCCCGGCAACCCGCAGCTGTGCTCGTTACCCTGGCAACCCTCAGCTGGGCTCGTTATGTCCTGCCAGGTCTTGCTCTCTCTCTCCCTGGCAGTTTCCACTCCCTAGGAGCAGGGCACTGAGGTGCCCTGCGACACCCTTACACCCTAAGACTTACACCTTGATACCCATATAACTATACCACACACCTTGCTGTCCTTCTTGGCTCCCCCCAGCCTTATTGCCACCAGCCCAACTTCCTTCATCCTGGCATGAATCCTCCCCCCGCCACATCCCTCCCCATCTCCTCCTCCTCTCTCCTAGCTCTCTCCTAGCTGCATTGATCCTATCCTTGTCCTGCCTAGAGCTACACAGCCTATCCTTGTCCTGCCTAGAGCTACCTGTAACATGAGCAGTGTTACAGGTAGCTAATGCGGTGCAGCAGCAGCCCCTGGATGGGGAAGAGGTGGGGCTCCTGAGGTTCCTGTGGGCCCCAGTGCCCTGACAGGGCTCCCTGAAAGGTGCTGTGCTCCCACTCAAACACCAGGGGTGCTGCCCTGCTCTGTCTGTCCATTAACACTTTACATCCAGCTTTGTTCAAAGGACAGATCTTTAATTAAGCTTTGGGTTGCTTAGTGTTTTACAGATGGCTCCATTTTTTATGGACTTCACAATCACGTGTTTTCAGGTTTTTAATTTTTATAGACTGTCTATAAATTTAGAGACAGCTGGTAGCCCTGCTTAAAACACTCAGTGGTACATAATTCATTTCATATTCTTGGAATAATTATACTTCCCTTGCAAAAAGAATGTATAAAACAAAGTGTATGGGACAAAGAGGAGGTGAATGCATGAACTACTTTGGTACTACAGAGGGCAACTGTCTTCTTGCAATAAAGAATGCCTTTTAATTAATAACCCTTTCCTTTTCTTTTACCTTCACCCTTCTGGAGAGGGAAATAAAAGAGATATTAGCAATTTTATTTTTTTAAAATTGTTTTCTAAATTTGCTACCTTTTTATGCTCTGTGGTGTAACCTCTGTATTTGTTTTAAAAAAGCAATACATAAATTATTTAATCACAGTATATTAACCCTGAAAACAAACTGCTTCATGACCTCACATTAAGCTGTACCTATTGGACAATCTTTGGCAGTGATCTTTTGTTCTGAACTTACAGATATCTTGATGTTAGCAGCTGTAAAAAGGTGACAGATATAGGAGTTCAGGCTTTGGCAGGGAGCTGCCACCAGCTTTATTATCTTGATCTGAGTTCAACAGGAACAAGCAAGAGAGGGTAAGATACTTGTCAGAAGGGTCTGATTCAAATACTTGATATTTTCTTTCTCATTTCATTTTCCTACTGTGAGTTTTTTTTATACAATGAACTGATTAAAATTGTTTGTTTATAGAACTTGTGCTGAAACAAACACAAGCTACCTGAGCAATCTTTCTGTTTAAAGAATACACATATGTCCAGTACAGTGGACCTATGTTAATCACATATTGCCATTGTTACTGCATTTGTGGTATTCTTTATTTTAAATTGTAGAGAATACCAAAAAGCTATTGGTAAGATAAAAGCTATATCATGGTTTGGCAAATGTGAAAGCAGTAATGTCAGTTGATGTGCAGAGATGTATAGGCATTTGTATAACAATAAGGATAAAATATTCATACATTTATGAGAAGGTATCCTTGTTACCAGTAAAGAATGGCTGAAAATGGATGACTAGAAAATATGTTTTGATTAATTTTTAAAGCGATTTCCATAGTATTGTTTTATTGAGAAATATAAGGTACTAAAACCTAGATGTGCACATCTGCAGCATGCACATGGCCAGGAATGCAGCCTGGCAGCTTGGAGAGCAGCATCTGGTGGGTAAGTCTGTGGGGGGAAGGGGCATGTGGGGGCACAGATAGAGACCCCAACGGTGAGGGAAGAAGTGGGGCTGGGGCAGGGGCAGGTGCTGCCCAGCTGGGGTGGGGCAGGGGGCAGGGCGCAGGACAGAGCTGTGGGCAGCTCATCTGGGGGTGCAGGGGGGTGAGGCAGGGGGGGGCTCCTGCCACTGTACACCCCCTGGGGGAGGCATGGGAGACACATTCCTCCTGGATTTGTGTGCAGAGTGAGGGTGGGCTGCTGCTCTGGCTCGGGGTCAGAGGATGTGCTAACATCTTCTTGGCAGTGAGACTGGGCTGGGGCTGTGCGTGAGGCAGGCAGGGGTGGGGCAGGCAGTGCTGGCACTGAGAGGGAGGCTATAGGGGAAGCTATGGCAAATTTGGGGTGGCTGTAGCCCCCCTGTAGCCTCCCTCCCAGTGCTGCCACCACCTGCCCTGCCCAAGCACAGCCCCAGCTCAGCCCCCAGCAGGAAGAGGCTGGCACAGCCCCCAGCCCTGAGCCCACAATGGCAAGCTTCTTTTACCCTGCATACAAATTCAGAGGGAATATGCCCGCCATACCTCCCCCAGGATTCACACAGTGGCAAGAGCCACTCCCCGTCCTTACCTCCCCAAACCCCTCTGGATGAGCCACCCAAAACTGCATCCCATGCCCCGCCCCACCCCTGCTGTGCAGCACCTGGCCCTGACCCAGCCCCACTTCTTCCCTCATCATGGAGGCCTCCCTCTGCCCACCCCCATGCCCTTTCCCTGCAACAGACTTACCAGTTGGAGGCTGCTTTCCAAGCTTCTGGGCTGTATATCAGCAATCGGATTGGTATTGGCCAATATGGCTGCTTAATTAATCTGCCATCAGTATCGGCCCAAAAAAATCTTTATCGCTGCATCTCTACTAAAACCCTAACTGCCACATATTATCTTGCTAAAATTCTTTGCATACTAAATATATTTGTGTTTATAATGGATAGAATTTAATCAAAATATTTTGTATTCATTCATATTCATTTTATATTCTTCTCATAGGATAGATAAAGATCTATATGTAAAAAATGTAGATTCAAATGCACATTGTAAATTCCTTTCTAGACATTTAGGTACGGCATGTTTCTCATGTTTCTTCCTGGAAAGCTATTGGTAAAATTGTCTCAATCTTCTGCTCTTTTCATTTTTAAAAAATACCTGTAGTATGATTAATTCTAACTTTTACTCAGTGAATTATCATATCTCATTCCAGAAACATTGTAGTGAGATTTTGCACATGAAATTGGTGGAATAAACAACTTTTCATATAATTTTATTCATAAGCAAAATGTTCAAGTGAGCAGCTGAAAACTAAAAGTGTGACTTATTAGATAATGCCAATCATTCTTCTTCCTACAGTTATTGTCCTGAAGAAGACAGGTTTATGCATATGTTGACTTTGCAGTAGACACATATAGGTGTTAATTTAAGTGTAGCCAGATGCACATGCTTGGTTTAATTTCTTACACGGACAGAATTATTTCTTGGAATTCATTATATATCATTCTTTTGGTGGGAAATTCATCCATGCTGAATGGATCACCTTTTGTTTGAGTGTCACTAAACATAGAGATAGTGATATACAGCATGAGAAGATGCATGAATTCTGAGGGCCTGGATAGAGAACATGTTTTCACAGGTATAACTGAGTAATAAAATAGTGTAATCCCCTACACTGGACTGGGTAATTTCCTCCAGTCCAGTGTAGAATTATCTTGGAACGACTTAGGGATACAATTACACTTGTATAAGCTGCAATGATGTAGGTGTTGTCTGACTATAGTGTATCCCAAGGAAGCCAGTCATTGAAGGCAAATTCTCCCCTGCCACTTAATGCAGGGTGCAGCTACCCTGGAATAACCGCAGCTCTCCAAACTGCTGGGTAACCATAGCTACCCTGGGATAACCACAAGTTTGTCTATTGCAGGTCTTGGAATAATTTATATTGGTGTACACAATCTGTCTAAGTTACACTGGTCTAAATCTGCTGTCTGTAGAGGGCATAAAATACTTTTTCCATAATTCACATTGAGAGTTCATTACATGAATTATACATAAGTAATGTAAGCTATGATAAATTAAAGTCTATATCATAGTTCTACAAATGTGAAGGAAGTAATGTCAGTTGCAGTGCAAAGATGTGTATTTACACACACACAAACACTGAATTAAGTGCAGATAAGTTTCAGTGAACATTTCTACTGCTATTTCACTGAACTTCTATTTTAGAATGTGACAGGGGTTGTCTCGAGGCCGGTCACAATGTCGGCCCACCCACCTGTCTAGAGCAGTCTGCCCCTCTGACTCTCCCGCCACGCTTTTGTTGTAATTAAAAGTTGTTTCTAGGCAGGAGGCTGCCCCTTTAATGCTCTCATTCTAAGGGTGTAATACATGGCTCCAACCTCCTCTTTACCATAGCCCATACCTCACAGGTATTATACTAGTGTTGTCATCTCTGTGTGCCCCTCTGGTGCTGGGCCCTCTGGCTCCTTTGTCTCTGTGCCCCTCCCCCATTGTGTGCTTCTCCCTCTAGGCACTAATGAGGCCACCACCTCCCCTGTAACCTCATTCCAAACCATGGCTCCAAACAATAACACAAACATAAGCCCCTGGGCTACAACACAACAATAACAAGGGAGACTGTGTTCTGCCCCTTTAAGAAGGCAAAACTTCCACCCTAGGGCAGTGCGTCTCCTAGCCCTGGGTACCTGGTAGGCTCCTGGAGCCTTTAGTCCTTATATGGGAGCAAAGAAGGCAACCCAGCATCACTGGGTAACTCTCTAAGGCTGGGCTCCTTCCCTTGGTAGTCTCCAGAGAGTGTGAACCCTGCCAGTTCCACCCCTGAGCTTATACGTCCCTAGGGCCCTGCCTCCTACTGGTCATCTGACCACCTGCAGGTACTGGCCAATTACCCCATTAGGCTACTGCTCAGGCAACCTGCAGCTGTGGAACTCTGCCTAGCCTGTAGGGCTCTGTGGCCAGGCTGCTTCTGCCCTTAAAGGAGCAGGCACATTTTAGTGGGGAAGACTGAATTTTTTTTGAAAACAGAACAGAATTTTTTAATGATTTTCTTTAAAGCTGAGGCTGAAGTTTGAACTTCAGAACTTCCTCAGTTTTATTGGGAAATAGATATTAAATAAGCCTTTTGATTCATCTTTAGAAAACAGTGTTAATTGCTTGTTGCACATTTCCACTAGATGTTTGACCAGAAATTTTTTAACCCAGGGAAAATACAGCTCTTCAATATGCTAAGAATTCAGGAGACTATCATGTCAAAATGTACATGTGAAGTGCACTTTCATGCCTGAATTCAAAACTCATTTGCTTACACACAGTTTTGAACTGATAAGTATACCTTTTAGGTATTCCCCCACAATTGTAAGGGTTTTTAATTTTGGTTTGCCCTCTGAAGAGAATGTGTGTGAAATAAGATTCTGAGTCATGCCTTGTATACAAAATAGCTTGGCTTGAGCATAAGGTGACGTTTCCTGGAGTGATCCTTAGTCTTGAAGTTTGATGGCAATGGTCTGTTCTGCTCTTATTTAACAGTTCTGTGGGTGCTTTTCTGATTCTTAGGCTCACTTTATATTTATTCTTCTTTCCTTCCTTACACTATGATTGACTCAGTTTTAGGGTGCTGTTTTGAGGCAATGATTGTTATCTCCCTCTACTTTTTGTTTTAGGAAGTTGGAGAAGTCCTGTCAGAAATTTTCTTATTCATATGGTGGTGTTTTGATGTTAAGTTGTTCCTGGGTAGCTTCTCTTCCATTTTCATTGATTGTTTCCTACAAAATTGTTTTTGCGAGCCCGTCAGTCTGGACATGTGGTCAGAACACTCCAAGTTCCAACTTTTTACTGTTGCTAGAAGAGGCTCATGGGAGCTAATTACTGTTGTAATTGAATCTGTAATACACTTGATAGTTTAGTATGCTGTATATGACAGTTGTAGAATTTTTTGAGACAGCTGAATACAAAAGATTGAATTCTACAATCTGTTGTGACTGTTAAAATCCAGGTTTCATGTCTGTATAGGACTGTTGAAAACACAATCATTCCAAGAAATGTTATTTATTATTTCATTTATTTATTTCTGATAATTTAGCAATGTACTTAGACTGGGGACTATTGTATAGATTGTTGATATCCCCATGGGCTCTTTTGGCAGCTGGGAAACGTTATGACATATGTAATGAGCTCAGATCAGTATCCAGGTCCCAGCCAGTTCTAACTGAACGATCAGGGCAACTCAACCCTTAGGATGGCAGACAACAGGCACAACCTGTTAAAGCAAGGGTGGGTAAAATGCGGCCCGCGGGCCGGATACGGCTCGCCAGGCCATTCTATCCAGCCCGTGGGGCCTCTAAAAATTTAGAAAAT